TTTAGCTCCCGATAGTCAATACATATCCTTAGTGTACCATCTTCCTTCTTAACAAATAAAACTGGTGCTCCCAGCTCGGGCGAATAAAACTCTTTTCTATTATTCTTATAATTGCACCTTAAGCTCTTGAAGCTCAGCCGGAGCCATCCGATATGGTGCCTTATAGACTGGCGCTGATCCTGGTATAAAGTCTATCTTGAAAGAGATCTCTTGCTCTAGGGGTAGTCCCAGTAGTTCCTCTGGAAAGACTTTTAAGAACTGTTTAACTATTGGAATGTCCTCTGGTCCTACTTTAATCTCCTTAGACTTATCCACCAAATTGGCTAGATATCCTATGCATCCATTAGCCAACATCTTACTTGCTTTCATTGCAGATATCATCTGCACTGACTGCTTTTGGAACGTCTTCGTGTAGGTGAACTCCTCTTCCATAGGGGGCTTAAATGTAACCTTCCGGTTTCTACAGTCAATGACGGTGTTATATTTCCTCAGAAAATCCATTTCCAATATAATGTCGTAATTACTTATACTAATAACAACTAAATTCACATACAACGTTCTACCGTAAATAATTATTGGAACATTGCACAACCAATAATTAGATATTAAAATTTGCCCATACGGTAAAGCAGTCCTAAAAGGTTGGCTCATTCTATCTTTTGCTCTATCTAGATGCTTAGTAGCCTTTGATGACACAAATGAATGTGTTGCTCCAGAATCGATTAAAGTATAAGCATCATAATTACCTACAGGAAGCTGACCTGTCACCACTGCGGAATTACCTGCTTCTGCATCACCTCTAGTATAGGCATAGATGTGAGCATGAGGTTCTGGAGCTTCTAACCTTCCTTGGAAAAATAATTCTTGACAATATGGCCCTCCTTGCCACAAATGTAACAACCACTTATTCTAACCTTACATTCTCCCGGATGTTTTCTCCCACACTTGGTACACTCGGGATAGCTATTGCTACTACACCTGGGGTTACCTCTCTTTTGTCGTTGGCTTCTCTAGTTTCTAGGGTTAAAGTTATCTTTCTTTTTATTTTGGCTCTGTCCGTGTGGCCTTTTATTTTGGCTCTGTCCCTGTGGCCTTTTGATTAGGCTGTTAGATTCTGTTTTTCCTGAACTCTTTCCTCTTTTTTGGCCTTGAAAAACTTGGCATTTTCTTCCCTGTTCTGATTCACCCAATATTCAGCACGAATTGCCCGCCCTACACAGTCCTTTATAGTTGTAGGTGGTTTGCCCCCGCCGCTAATTACCACAGCGAGGTCAGTTCTAAACATTTTGATCATCCTTCTAACTTCCTCCCGCTCAGAGGTCACCATATGTGGACACAAGCGAGCTAACTACTTAAATTTCTATACTGCATCCAGCACTGACATATCTCCTTGACGAAAGCTATTAAACTCATCCTCCTGGGCTGTCATATTGTCTAAGTTGAAATATTTCTCATTAAACTCCTCAATAAAATCTTACCAGGTCATCAAAGTGATGTCCCTCCTTAATTCTATTGTCTGCCACCAACGGCGAGCTTCCTTCTTTAGCATATAAGAGGCACAAAAAACTTTCTTTTGATTGTTCAATCTCTTAAGGTTCAAGATCACTTGAACATCATTCAGCCAGTTATCTGCCTCTATAGGGTTGGCAGAGCCATGGAACTCTGGCGCTTTCATACGACGGAGCCTTTCTCGGATTGTAACCCAACGTTCATCATTTACTGGTTGGTAGTTCTGTTCCTCGACTGCTACAGGAGCAATCAGTGCAGATGGTATTTCTTGACCATCATGATCGTCGACTGCAGAGGGATCTTCCAGTGCTGGTAGATCGTCGTGAGCTGGCTCTTCTCCTACTAAAGGTATTTGAGCCTGTCGTGTTATCTGTTCACGCAGAGCATTCATCTCTTGCTGCTGCGCTTGTGACTATTCTCTCATTTCAGCTATCCGAGTGCTTAAATTAACCTCCGGCTGTTCTCTAGCCGCCTGATATAACGGTTGATCCATGATTCTGATTTTAAGGAAAAGGTTATATAAGTTCCCTATCTTTCCCTGTATAAAACATCTTATTTGAAATTTACTATACGAAATCTTATCGTAATTAAGATACTTGAAATCTTGTTAACTTCCTTGATAATTTTGCTCTTATAGGCTTTTAATTCGCATATAAGTCTTTAATCTAATACAAGCATAAACTGTTAATTTTCAGATAAGCTTGATTTCTCATATAACTTAACTTTGATACAAAACTGTTGGGAGTGTACTTTGTATATCACCTCCCCTTTCCTATACATGTATCTTCTTTTGTATAAAACTACTGCACAAAACTTCTATTGGGAGTGACTACCACTTCCCATAATACATGAGCAAAATACCCAGTCCAACCAGGTGAGAGTGGCTAAGGTAGTCCAATACTGTCGATGTATTCCACAGGCCTCTAAAATCACCTATGTCTGCATCAACCATTCATGTGTCCTCCCTACATGGGTCTCACCCTCATAGTTACCCGAATTGGAGTTCCGGAAAACTATTACTAATTGTGCCATAACTGGATCGTATAGAACTCCATCTAGTGGTGGTGTATAAGAGGATGCCATATCCAATCCTATAATCCTAAATGTACATGATTTAACAATTTAATTCCATCCTGAAAAATAGAGCTGATTTACTCTTTTAAATTCTACTTACTTAGGCTGTGGCAGATAGGCACACAATGGTGTGGAGTAGGATGGCAGGATACCGGCTCTGATACCAGCTCTGATACCAACTGTAAGGACCCTGTTGAGTGGCCGTTACTATTACTAACTTTAACATATACTTTCTGAAACTCTCCAAAATTTGAGGGACATTTTTTTTCAAATGCTATATGGAATGCTGCAACATTTTTTTTAAATGTTGTAGCATTTTTTAAAATGCTGTAAAGAACGTTGTAGGATTTTTTTTTAAATTGACTGTAACGACATAAATTATGGTTTCTACTTTTGAACATAGCAAAGTGTTTATACTTCAAAAAAACAATTTCTTTTCTAAAGCATAAATTTACACATAGGTATATTTTTGCTTCTCAAAATCCTACTAGTTTATAAAAACTTAACAATCATACTACAAACTTCCAAAACACAAGGACACATACACAATATGAATTTCTAATAATTTCCGTTAAGTATAGAAATTTTAATTGAGTCTACTGATGGTCATATATAGAATGATCTTAATCCTGAGTTCTTAACAAACTCATATTTATGGATTTGTGTCTTTTGATTTAGTTTGTATAGATTCTGACACCCTGAATCCTATTCCTTGTATTTTGGAGACATGATGAAGTAGGTATCCGAGAATGTTATTATACGAGATGGAATCCATTCCTTCTTGAGAAAGAAGTAGATAAATAATTTTCTTGAGTGTTGATTTGGTACTTGGATTAGTAAGAGCGCTCTAGTTCATAAATGTGTTTTATGAATCACTATCCATTAGAGAATCAATGGTACTCAATGATTAAGATATAATTAGAGAGGTTAACAGATTCTACCTAGCTCTAATTATAGATTATTTATGGAGGATTGATCTATATGCAGTGACTATACCAAATGGACACTTCACAGTTTAGAAGTAATTAATGTCTATAATTTTGAGAGTACAATTCCAGGTTTATAGTGGAGTAACTATTGGAATTAATAGAATTAATTAATTAATTAAAGTGTTTAATTAATTATTAATTTTATTGGAGCTCATAATTATAGGTCTATTAGTCCCTGCGTCGTCCTAGTAATTCTACAAGACACAAAGGACAAAATGAGAATTTTAAAATTACAAAATTCTAAAATTAAACACTCGAGGCTAATTAATTGAGAATTAATTATAAATTACATAATGTGATTATTTAAATTTGAATTTGAATTTTGGATCGCATAGTGTGAACACATAGTATGACATAATTTAAATTATCATTTTAAACTTATTTGATAAGTTGTTCAATTTATAATTCAAATTAATTTAAGTTTGACTTAACTTGGAATTTGAATTTTGAGTCAAAATTGGACTGCAGGATAAATGATGATTTTCTCTTCCTTTTCTATTTGTATTTGGCGCCTACCACAGGGATAGGATCACATAATGTTGGCCGGCCATATTGAGGATAAGGAGTAGGAGATTTTTGTTTCAAATTCAAATAGGAGATAATTAACAAGCTTTATTTTAGAGATAAAAATTGGATTCCTTCTACGAGTTTGACTTCTGCTCTATAAATAAGAGAATAGTAGAAAATTGTGAGACACTATTTTGACCTATTATTTTTAGTATGGCTGAAATTCTCTTACTGTGGAAAGGAAAAATTTTTCTCCAAAAATTTCACATCGTGCATGCGTTGTTGTTTGTGGAAATTCAAGCGTTTATTCTAACCCATTTTGTCTCAGGTGTGCCCATACACACGTCTTCATAGATTCTAAGAATTGACGTGGAAGACATTGATTTTTTAAACACAAGGCTTTGGAGCAAGGATTGTTCGATGTAAAAGAACTCAAGTTATCATCCTAATCGGCTGCCATATATTATTGCTAATTAAATTCTTAATAAATAAATTAATGTGATTAATTTATTTTTACATAAATTAATATAATATAAGGAGTATCTTAAAGATTTTATTAAAATTTTTGTTATATTTGATCCGCTATCCTCACATTTCCCGTATCTGAATTCAATTGGAAACCAACAAAATTATCCCCTATTCCTCCGATTCAGTCAAGATGGCATTGGGCCTAATTTATACGGGCTCTCCGTACAGTAAAAGCCCACCACGCCCATTTATAAAGCTAGTCGTCTACTCGTCTTGAACACGATCAGAGAAACCTTGGTCGAGAAGAAACGACAGAGTCAACCGCCAGGCAAAGGCAATAGTCGGGAAAACGACTTGAATCCCAATAAACAAACAAAACATGAATATTTTAGCAAAAAACGAAAACAAAAACAAAACATGAATAGATGATAAAGCTCCTGAGCGCAAGAAATCCAATTAAATAATTAATACTAAAAAATAGATAACTCCAATATTGCAATTATAAATGCACTCCGACACTGAGTCTTGAGAGTCACAGAGAGACCTTTCAATAAACAAAAAATCATCGTTTTTCTGGTGTGATAACGGCGAACTTACATGCTATAACGAAAAACTCCAATTTCGATTGAATTGCGAATTTGGGTTTCGATTTGATTTATCATCACGGGCGAGAGCTGGGAATTCACCGGTTTCTTCCATCTGTTTGAGTTGAATAAGCAACAGCAGAAGAAAGAAGACTGATATGAGAATCGAGATCTCTTGTAATACAATTATCGTTTTTTGAGTGCTGGGTTTTGTTCCGTTGGCCAAAATGATGCTGCATTATCAAGACCCTGCAAAATTGAGGACTAAAAAGGTAAATATTTTCTTGGATTGATCAGAATTGTTGATAAGAGTGGTGGTTTTTTTTTTTAATCATGATTTTATTACGACATATTAGACTATATTTGCAATAGGTTTTTTTTTTTTTTTTTTTTTTTTTTTGGGTGCTGAGTTGGAAAACAGGGGTTTAGAAAAAAAGTTTATTGTCATTTTATTTCAGTTTTCTATGATTAAATAGTGATGTTTGGTGTTTTGACTTTTGTCCATGTTAGCAGATTGTGTTTGAGGAAGTGTACGGCGCTAGTGATTCATGTACACTTGAGCAGTTGAAAGAGTTGAGCTCCAAGCGTAGATTGATTGAGGAGTCTATCAATGAAAGCACCTCCATTACTGAGGCCATTGCAAGGGAAATGTCTGGAGGCTTAACTTCTCATTCCCAACAGGTCAGATTTTGTCACCATGGAAATTGTTTCTTGAACATGTTTCTTTTAATAGTATGTAAGCTATAGAACACCAGTAATATGTTAATCTCTGGAGAATTTTAGCAAGGCACTAATGTGTGAATTTTGCTACAGTATTCTCTCTCACAAAAGTTGAAATTTGGTTAAAACCACCTGGTTTGAACCCTTTTAGTCTTTGTTTTCTAGGTTTGAATCACACCAAGCTTTTTTTGCTGCAGTATTTTCTCCAACGAAAATTTAAACAAATTTGAATCTTAATTCAAACCTATAAACCAAACGGCCGCCTGTAATTCTAAACTGAACCTCATGATTACTTTTTGTCTCTTGGGATGCTCAGGAATTTAATTTTTTTCTCTTCTAATCAGACTATATAATCTAATATGACAAACTTCTGTTGTTTTGTAGACATAGTTTTCTTTGATTTGTATGTAATTATCACTTAAACTTGTTTTACTTTTCCCCAGGATTATCATTTATGGTTCTTTAAATGTCTCAGGTTTTGCAAAAGCTAGAACAGTATCTACCATTGTTGGAAAATTTGATTTTCCATGTCAATTTGGTTAGCAGCAACTGCCAGATAAGTCAATGGACGGCAAATCTTAAGATACAATGGAGCAGTGCTCTTTGCTCATCCTCTTTTTTTAATCTCAGGAGTCCAAAATTCTTTCAAATCGGTGACTTGAAGTTTGAGCTTCAAATGATGCTTTTCCTTTATGGGGCAATACTTCGGCAAAGGGCAGTGGAAATTGTGCCAGAAAGTAGGTATTGATGTTTCAGCGTCAAATTCTACATACTTTCTTACTGCCATATACAAACTTACTTGATTATTTGCTTTTCATTACCATAGACCTGGTGCAATCTGCCACCCTTTTTAGAGAAGCTGCCGGACTTTATCGTCACCTTGCTGATGAGAGTTTTGCTTCTTTACAACAACATTCTTTGCTTGTTGAAAAGCCACCAGAAATTCTCCCATCCGTTTCCACAGTCATGAACCTCATTTGTTTGGCCGAGGCACAGGTTAGTACTTTGGTTCTCTTTTACAGCTCACCTTCTTTTGCTTCGATCACTGGATCATTGCCTGAAAAATGCTTTGCTCCTCTTGTATAAGGTGGTATTTTCCAACTCTGTTCTATTTCCCCTTTCTCTTCAATTTGTTCATGTTTTATGTAAAATACGAGTTAAGCTTGTCTTTTGTGGGAATTGATGTTCTTTTGGAGGGTTTGCAGGCAGTTACTATAAGGCGGGCTGAAGAAAAAGGTACTAGTATAAGTCTCTTGGCAAAGCTGCACCATGGTGTCGCAGAGTTTCTTGATGAAGCTGCAGTTATTCTGTATGCAGCAATTGGAGAATGCAAAGATATATCTTCACGCTTTGTGGTATGTAGACATTTTCTAACAATTCTCTTTTCAATTGTATCTACTTATCTCTTGATGGAAAATCAACTATATATAAAGTGCGCCATGATTGGTATCCCTCACCAGTACCAGTACGAGTACCTCACAGTAAACTATGTTAGGCCCACTGATTAAGTATACTTAGTTACCAATTTTTTACTAACCCTTATTTTATTTTTTTATCTATGAACTTCAGAAGATCCCTTTTAAATTTTCAAAAGATCCGATAAGATATTAGACTATTAGTGCCAAAGGATCAAAGTGAGGGTTATAGCCATGCCCTACATATATATATATATGTATATATATACTTTTTGTTTTTATATTTTACTTGTTTTCACTACTTGAGAGGTCCTTGATAATTTAGCTCCATAGGTCATGTGTGGTTCATCACCTAATCTTGGTGTCAATCACTACTTTGAGTAGCGAGTGTGATGATGTCCTATAGAAAGTTTTTGGTTTCGGTGGCAATATTCACATTCTTGTACTTCCATCTAATCATGGGTACTTATTCTGGATTGTGCAGGAATTCTTATCATCTTCCAGGGCATTACATAGGTTGAGAGGTCAGAAATACCATGCAGAAAGTCTTAAGACCGCTGGAAAAGTTGGGATTTCGATTGCTGTTCTTCGAGTTGCACTGACTGATGGGAAAAGGCAGATGCCAGGCGAAGAATCATGGAAATCAACATATAGAAAGGAAATTGATGATACTGCTGAGTTGCTCAGGAAGATTGAGCATGAGAATGGATTTGTCTGGGGCGAAAAGGTGCCATCGGAAGAAGAGTTGCCATTGTGTGAAGGTAACAAAATTGTGAGTTCTATACCTTATCAACCCAAAAGATGGGAGAGAGAACTTGCTTTCAAGATATAAATGTATAGCAATTATAATGCACATCTATTGGTTCTGGAGAAGCAAAACGTTGTCAGCTTTATGATCCCTCCTTTACTTGGGAAGTTCAATTGAATGTATAGACCAATATTTTTGTGATCTTGAACATGATTGATTATACCAATTACAAATTCTAAACTATTACTAAATTCATCGCCACTGGCATTGAATGTTACGAACTTTTTGTTCAAGTTAACACTGTCGAATGCACGTCAGTCTCAAACAAGGATCCTCTATCGACTTTCTGTCTTTTTTTACCAGAAGAATTTTCAGCTATACTTCACCCGTCGCTGGATTCTTGGTTGCTTGTTTGCTTGTTTGCTTGTTTGCTTTCATTAAGGGTGAACAAAATCACCGTCTTCAAAGCTTTTGCTGATAATGGACTTATAGAAATTTGTAATTTATTGTTAGATCTTTGGTAATGAAATAGTGTTGCTAGTATCAGAAAAGATAAAGAAAAGACTATTAACTCAAAAGCTCATGTGCAGTTTTAAATAAAATTAATTGTATAAAGAATCAATGACAATATTTCTCAAAGTTACAAATTATTTTAACGAAAAAAAGGAATAAAAAGATAAACAAACTAAAACAAATTCTTGACTAGTAATTAATAACTAGAAAGTAGAAATAGCAATAGCAATTACATAATCATTGTTTGGTAATTAATATTTAATTTATTAGTAATCACTAATTATTATTTATTTTCATTAATAAATTATAGATTTTTAATTAATAATTAAGTATTTAGTATCTATTTGTTTATTATTAATTATTGACTAATTAATAATTAGTTTATTATATAATATATAATTAATTATCAATGTAATGCTGTTGATAAATTTTAAAAAATGAAAACAGAAAAAAAAATAACTTTCAATCATTAATAATTCTTTTCTAAAAATCATTCTCATAATTTTTATTTTCATTTTTATTCTCAAAATATTTGTAAAATAAACACAGTTTAAAGACACTTTAAAATACCTGCAAAAACGTTTGTCATTAATTAAGAAAATAGTAAATACTGGGTTGGCGCGAGGCACGTGGCCAAATCAAATCCATTAGGATTCTCTAGCCCTACTTCTACGTATCATATGATTATCGAAACAACTTAACTCAACTCAGAGAAGAAAACTTGGAACCATCAATGGCCGCTATTCCGGGCGTTAATTCTCTTCCCTTTTCTTGCAAACCTTGCAGAACCAGAAGACCCTCATTCCCTTCTTTGCTTTCCACTTCACTCTGCTTCCTTCAAGCCAACTTCCTCATTCTCAAGCTCCAAAATTGCAACGCCCAGGTTTTTCTCGCATGTATGTATACATTTCTCTATTTGTATATTTTAATCAGAAATTTGGGGCTGAAATATCAGTTTCTTTTTCTTTTTTGTGTTGTTTTTTTTAAGTTGCAAGTTGGGTGGTGCGGTTTCTGCTGTGGTTTCTCAAGAGAGCGTTACTGGGTCGAGTTCTTCAGGCACTGATGTGTTCAAACTCACTTACTTGGAGGTGGGTTTTCGTTTTTCTTCATCTGGGTCTTTCCCAAAATTGATAACATTAAAAGGGATTTGGGAGTAAATGGCCCTTTTTCGGGCTTTATTTTTTGTAAATGACCGAAATTTTGTAGAATTAGGAAATGATCATTTTTTGATTAATTCTAATTTACCACTGGCTAATCAATATAAATTCATTGATTAACCAATATGAATTAGTAATTAATCAATCCCAACAACAAATTATTGGTTTGTCAATGATAAGCACTTAGTAAATTGTGATAAATTGGTTTATCACTGACCGTCGTTCTTAAATATGTATATATATATATATATATATATCCATTTGTCTGAAAAAATAAAAATTTTGGTTATTTATAAAAAAGGGTGGCCAAAAAAGGGCCTTTTGCCTAAGTGGCTTTTATTTGTTATTTGGTATTATTAATTTTTTTTTTGGTTGTTGTTGATGAAGTTTAGGACTTTTTGGTTTAGGGGAATAGTTGGTTGTGGGAGGTGGGTGGGTTGAAAATATTGGTTGATCCAATTTTGATGGGAAATTTGGATTTTGGAATACCCTGGCTTTATGATGCTGCCAAGAAGTTTCTGAAGAATTTTTCAGGTACTTTTGTTTTTTCTTCTCTACCTGTTTTGTTAAAAGGAATTTAAGATAAAAGTTATGGGCTTGTTCTAATTGTGTAAATGTTTAATGCAGTTAAGTGATCTTCCTGAAATTGATTGCTTGCTGAGTACACAAAGCCTTGATGATCACTGTCATTTGAAGACTTTAAAGCCCCTCTCTAAGAAGTACCCAAATCTTAAAGTGTTGGCAACTCCCAATGCTAAGGAACTGCTCGATCCCGTTTTCAGGAATGTAAGTACTCTTTAGTATTTTTTTTATTAAAAAAAAAAGGGAAAAGAAAAGGAAAGAAAAAAGGTACTCTTTATCTTTTTTTTTTTTTTTCCCCCCTCTATCCAGGTTGCGTATGTTGAAGTAATTGCAATCTTCTGTGACTTACAGAATTTTTCTGATTTGATTGTGAAGTAATCAATTGAAAATGGGCTTAGTAGTTTGGTTATTAATTTATAATAGTGAAACACTTTTGTAATTTGTTTGCTATAATTTCTTCAACCATCTAGCTCTTGCTAAAAAGTAAAATAAAATAAATTGGTGATTTGCTTTTCGTTAAGGAAGTTGAAGTTCTTAGAACTCCTTGGAAGAATGTATTTAGAACAATCTTATAGTTATCTTCTCTCTACATGTTTTGTTTTCTCAATGTTCGTGACTATTCTCACTTGTCACTTAGCTGCGCCTCTTGAATACTTGAGGAAAGCGGAACGAGCTGTGTCTATTTTACTAGAATGGCTTTGAGCTATTTTGATTTTTAGGTTAATGCTTGTATTTGATGCTTAATGCTTAATGCAAAATCTTAATGTAGTATTCAAGTTACCAAATTATGCTTATAGTTACTGCATTTCCTTATTCTGATCAAACCACATAAATTCATGTTTTCTAGACCACGTATCTAGAACCTGGTCAGAGCTCTGTTATTGAAGCAAGTAATGGTTCTAAAGTCAAAGTCCAAGCTACTGCAGGGCCAATTCTTGGTCCTCCTTGGCAGCGTCCCGAAAATGGGTAAACTTTTCTTTCAAGTTTCATTCTAATGAGTCATGACTTGTTTGCTCAAGGCATGTTACTACGTCCCTTGTTAGAGTACATTAGTTAAATTGATATTTAAATATGCATATTGGTTGTGACATACATCTGGGAATGAACTTCCTTTGATATAATACGCCCTTTACAATTATTAGCCAAATTTTAGTCATTTTTTCAGTAATCATGCTCTAGGTATCTTGTAACTTCTCCACAAGACCAACTTACTCTCTACTATGAGCCTCACTGTGTATACAACAAGCGTTTTCTAGAGAAGGAAAGGGCTGATATTGTCATCACAACAGTTATAAAGCAGCTTCTACCAAATTTCAATTTGGTATCTGGACAAGAAGATGCTGTTCAACTCACAAAGCTGCTGAACGCAAAGTATAGTATCGTTTCTTACCTCAGGTTTTAGCAGCCAAGTTTGCATAGATTCATTGTGATCTTATATTGAACCCTGACTTCTTGTAGGTTTGTTGTGCCAATGAAAAACGGAGACCTTGATAGCAAAGGGCTTCTAGCTAGTCTAATTCAGGCCGAGGGAACAATAGGATCGTTCAAGGTCTGTGTTCTTATACACATGTTGACGAACTATTATTTTAGAAATGGAATACTTTGAGAATATATAACCTAGATGGTTTTTGTAAATTTAGGTATTTCATTGAGAAAAAAGTAATTCATTTTCTTTTGTTTTTAGAAAATGCAGTAGTTATGATGGAAATGTGCTTATATTTTTTTTTGCTCTTGATGTTTATAGTGCTTAAAAACATAAGAACACTTGATGCCTTTTGTAGCACATATCTATTTGTTAAGTCTACCAAAAGGCGTACATTGAAAATGAGCTTGCTATGTTTGGTGAAAGTATGTAGGGATTTTATGCCATTTAGTTGTGCTTTCAAGACTTCCTTTGCCTATTCTCTACGCGTTTGCCTACTCGCATATTTCTTGTCAAAAACAATCATAATATTCAATCTATTTCCCCTCATTCTACGTAGTTCATTTAATTTTATCTTTTTCTTTCGTTGTTTTTTTTCTTTTTCAGTTGCAATTTTCTGTTCTGTAAATGCGTTTAGATGGTTGTGAAAGTAGGAGAATTAAAGCTGAAAATGGTTCTTGTTGCAGGAACTTTTGTCAAAGGAATTACAAGATGTGCAGGTTTTAGAGCCTACTCCTGGTGTACCAGTGGAAATCCAAGCACACCTTAAACTCTTCCACACACACATATGTATATACATATATATTTGTGGAGTATATTACATACAAAATAAAGTAGTCTATTTAAGAATACGTGTCTCTGCTGTTTTTTCTATGTACAGTAAATTAGTAATCCAATTTTTCCCGATCTTGTTTTTTGTGTTTGCATCACAACAATATAACAAGAAGTAAAGGAATCAAGCGAGACCTGCATGCATGGACGTTGCATCGCAAGTTCCAAATTAAAAGAAGTTTAAAAATATGGAAAAGAAATTCGAAATGGAGAGATCGTACAAATCAAAGAATGTATACAAAGGAATATATTTTTATATCTTAGTTATGAAATGTCATATGGCCTCTTGTGATTGTTACTTTCGAGTTTTATACACATGTCAACTTTGTGACCACTATAATGTTGTCAGGTAAGAAGAAAAGTAAATAGGAAGGAAAGAAAGGTATTTAACCTAAGTGAGAAAAATAGAGAGGAATGAAAGGACCGTTCTCTTACACTATGTTTGGTAGGAAGGAAAGAAAATAGGATAGAAAGGAAATATGAAAGTGATGAAAAATAGCAATGATGGAAAGGAAATTGATTTTCTTTTATGTTGTTTGGTATGAGAAGATGGAAAGAAAATGAGCTTACCTTCACTTGTTTGGTATTGGAAGTTAAATTGGGAGGAAAAAAAAAATCTTACTCGTAAATTACTTTTATACTCTTAAATTTTTTGCTTGGATGTTGATGGAGAAAAGGGTAGTTTAATAACTTTGCTCACTTTAATGAGTTGTCCCCATTTTCTATCCCATTTTCTGCCCACTTGTGGAAAGAAAAAAAATGGTGGGGCCCACGTGTATTATTTTCTACTCTATTTTCTCTTCCTTTCTCTTTTCTCTCCTACCAAACAACCTACATTTTCATTTTCCCTCCTAAAATCCCTTCACTTTCTTCCTTCCTTCTACTTTTCTTTCCTACCAAACATACTCTTACTGTTTGGTGGGAGGGAAAACTGGAAGGAGGGTGAGGGATGAGGGGATTAGTATAAGGATTTTCAGGCTTATGATTGTTTGGTACGAGAGAATAGAGTGGCTGAAAATTTTCAAATTGTGTAAAGAAGCACAAATTTAGGGGTTATTTTTTTGGAGTGTAACTTAAGTGTAGTTTTTGAGTTGAATTTGAGTTATAACTTGAGTTGAAGTTAGAACTTGAATAAAATTGAGTAAAATTGAATAAAGTTGAAACTTAAAAGAACGTGAATTTAAATAAAGTTGAAACTTGAGTTGTCTTTTTTTGAGTTTTTTGGACAAAAGAACATGCCCTTAATCTCCTCATTTCCATCTTATTTTTCCTCACCTAAATTTTTTCGTTTCATATAATAATTGCTAACTTGATCAATGAGGATATATATTGCACGCCCCGAAACAAGTTAGTGACCTGGAGGTTCATTTAGAAGTTAAACTTAATTAAGGGACTAATTAAGCATTTGAAAATATGAAAATCGATCTCAAAAAGTAAAACATAAAGGAAATTTCGAAACAAGCCCCCACATTTTGATGAAATTGGATTTCAAGAAAGTGATGATGACTTTCACACTTTTCTTATAAAAGAAGTTCAAAACTAAGCCTCTAGCATAGTTCAGGGTTTCCCTCACAGGATATTCTATATTATACGTACATGAATAAATAAATAAAATAGTTATAGACATCAACCACAGTCTAGAAATATTTAAGTTTACAATCTGTAGAATGTATACATATGTTACATTGTACAACAAGGATGGAAGTGTACAACTTCTTCTCTTGAACTACACAAGCTAGAGTTACTTGTATTTGCTACTTACTCAGCACTGCTTTTAGCGTCGCCTGAGAGGGGTTATGTACATTGAAACGAAGAAAAATAAGCGGAAGGCCCAATAGGATATATTTTAGGAAACTTTTATAAATAAATAGAAATGCACAGTCTCAACACATCAGCCGAAACCAAACATCCTTTTTTTGAAAGGAAAATATAAACTTAAATTTCATATTACAAGCATCAACAAGTAATTTACAACTATGATAAATTACTTACACAACCAAAAGCACAAGCCTTATCACCACCGTAGTGGGCCGTACGGGTTTCGGGTCTTGTCCCCAAGGATACGATCTCCATATCCTGATTTGTAATGACCGGAAAAAAATTTAGGTCTAATCCGGACATTCCAGTATTTGACTAAAATTTTTTCCCGAATAGTAAGTAGTAGAATTTTGATGTAATCAAGAAAATGTTATGTAAAAACTTTATGTACGGGGTAAAATTTCCTGAAATATGTAAAGTTATAGTATATGTATATATATATATATATATAAGATCCTTTCCATGTACGTTAGTACGTTTTTTTTAAAAAAAAAAAAAAAACAAAGCAGAGAGAGTGATTCGTAAAAAAAAAAGATAGAGAGTTGTGAAAATCAAGCAGTTTCACTGAAATTTCTTCCATTCAATCCGATAGAAACGTAACCTAAGGCATTCTAGCGGAAAAACCTCAACTTCTGGAGGTAAGATTTTAGAGTTTTCATGAGAATTCTATATTTTCTTGATTTAGATGAATAGTAACCCATCTCAGAAAAACTTCTGTTAAAGTGAAAATT